CCCAGCATTTATTATCTGGTGAAGAAGGGGAGTGGCTCAGGGATGAGTGACAGTGAGGATGTTGGGCATTATGTGAGTAACTTGAGCTGGCTGGCCAGGTGCAAGATTGCAGAGATAAAGATATGCAGAAGAACCAATTTACATAATCCAATTAAGGTAGCAGTGGAATTGTTTTGGGGGGCTATCACTTTGTTTCTGACATGAAAACTCCTGTGCCCTGGGGAGTCATAGCTTCTTATCTTGAGGCTGTGCCCAGTTGACCTTGCAAGAGCTATTTGCTCTAACATCTGGAGTGCTCAATCCTGTATTGTGAAGAACACTATGCAAGGAAACAGGACTGTCTGATGGCTATAGATTTTGCATATTAGCCCCTGGACTATGCAATGCTGAGAGCCAATTGAAGAGAGAAGGAAATACCGTAGCCAGTCTCTTACATATCAGTATAAGGAAATGTCTCCAAGTAATCAAAGTCACAGTACTTGTTTTGGATTTAAAGGGAGTCACTGGAGTTGTCTCCCACATTTATCACTTTCTTACCTGAATAATGGAAGAATAATAATAGCCAGCTCGCAATGTTATTAGGAAGTATGGGTCAAACAGTTAGCACAACGTTAGCATAAAGTAAGAGGATAATAAATGTAAGCAGATAGTGTTTTTCCTACCAGCAACCATTTCAGGGATGAGGAAACTTGAAGTTTAAGGGAGTCTGTAAGTTTCCCAAATTCCTACAGCAGTTAATGGGTGGAGAGGTCTAATGCTTGCTCTTAACCACTGCCCTCTGTTGCCTCTACAGCATGCTATGTGCCTTTAGGGAAGAAGACTGGGGTACTACAAAAGCATAAGTGGAACTTTTAACCCAGTCTTCTAGGAAAAGAGTTAGGGCAGGCTCCTAGAGGAGGTGAGGTTCAGCTAACCTGGGTGATCAAACAAGAATTAGGCTGAAAGGGCAACAGGGTAAGAAAGAAATAGAGGCTACTGGCAGGGTGGAGTTACTTTTATCCCCAGTCAGAAGCTTGTCAGAAGCATGGAGAAGTGAGGAGGGTCGGGTCTGGAGCATGTGGGTATAGACAGGGATGAAGACAAAGGGCTAACCATGCCTTTGCTCCATGGGCTATCAAAAGGCACTTTGTAAATACACGGTGATGATGATGTCACTTCTTTCTCCCAGTGAGTCCTTCTCGTCCAGTTTGCCCTGCAGGTCTTCTTTGCTTACGTGAGTTAGGCATAGAGGGTCACATTCTCTCCATATTCTTTCCTTTTGAAAGATTAATTTTTCATGGCAAACATGAGGTTTTCAGCAAACGCGTTTCCCATCTCTGTCTTCCCTTTCCCCTCTATTGGCTTTGTGATCTATTTCCGGATGGCTCCCAACATGCATGAGTTCTGCCTTAGCCACCTGGTATGGATCTGTCTTCTGTACATTCTTCTTGAATCTTTGTATTTTCAGTCTGTGCCCCTTCTTGAACTAGCAAGTTCCATATGTTAGTTTACTCTCTACTAAATAAAAATTGGCTGGTTGTTTTCTCTGATATAATCTCCTTTAAATTCAGAAGTTATTTCTTTGGTATTAGAATTGTAGGGTTCAGTCAATGTATTTACATTGCCGTGATGAACCCAGCCACCTAGTAATGCCATCCATTGATGGTGGACCCTTCCCCGTGAATTCAACTGAGTCTAAAATCCACAGAGCCTCCCAAATTTTACCTCAGCATACCTTCAGCAGCTAACTTGTCCTGGTGACCAGATCACATCATGACATTTTGTGTACCATATTGAAGGCATCCTCATTACCAACTAACAAAACTGAGAATTGATCTTTCTCACCACCATCCTTTGTTCCCTCTTGTGTAGTAATGCCCATAAGAACTCTTTAGAACATCACCTCCACTGAGGACAGATTTTGTAATGCCTGGACTCACACTTTTAAGGAATCATGTCAGTTAGTGGAACAACTAGCAGTAACCTCCACATTTGCACATTAATCAGTCATTTAATTGCTGCAGATGTGGAGGGGGAGGGAATGTGACATTACCCATTGAAGAAAAGCAACCAGTTGGATAAGATATTATCAGCGCACTGATTGACAGATTTGCTTTGTTTGTGGTCTTGCTGTCTGGCATGCAATCAACAAACATTCATTGAATACTTTCAAATTCTAGGAACCCTGGTGCTTCAGAATGTCATTTTTATTTGCTGCAGCTGATTTCTGTTTTTCTGAACCACAGCTGCTCTATCTTCTGTCATCTAGCTGTTGTGCTGTTTCTTATGCCATTGCTGACCTCCAGCCTTCCCTGGCTTCTGATATCTAGTGGACACTACCAACTGCTGGCTATGGCCTCCTGCCAGGGCTAGCTTTTCGAACTCCACATCATCTCCAATTTTTGAACTTCTGTTGGCCTCTCTGGGGCTCTGTCCCTGACTGGTGGAGTGCCCTGGAAATTCCATTCTTGTGATGAGTATGAGTTGTATTTTTTGGTTCTTATGCCCTGGCCACTGAACTCCAGACTCTCATCTTAGTGCTGAGTATCAAATGCCTAATCAATTGGCATTAAACAAAAAATAAATTTCTGGAGGTAGAGAGTAGGATGATGGTTATTAGAGTCTATGGAGAGTAACAGGAAAGGGAAGAAGGAGAGGTTGGTTAATGGGTATAATGCTACAGTTAGATAGAAGCAAGAAGCTCTGTGCTATGGCACAGTAGAGTGACTATAAACAATAATGTGCTGTACATTTTACACCAACTAAAAGGGGAGATTTTGAATGTGTCACTACAGAATAATGATAAATGTTTGAGGGAATAAACATGCTAATTGCCATGATCTTATCATTACAGTGTATATGTGTATCAAAACTTCACATTTTACCCCATGAATTTGTGCAATCATTGTGTGTTAATTAAAACCAGACAAAAAGAAATGAGGCTGTTTTTTGAAAAAAGCACACTTTTCAAGCTGAGGATGCAGCTCAGTGGTTACATAGTATGCACAAACACACACAAAACTAACCAAATTTCTTCCCTCTAGGCTAGCACAGAAACAAAATAATGTCAAAAGAATGGTGGAAGTTATCTATGATGATGAGAGAAGTCATTTAGTAGGTTGAAAATGTCCTTATGCGTGTTATGCAGGCAGCCCAGAAGGGGGCCCTGAATGTCCGACCAGTGCAGAGCTGTCTTCACCCCAGTGAACTAATTCATTGTGCAGCCTACTGACTATACAGTGATGAATGCAGTGAATTTTCTCTACTTTAAGCTAATGCTAATATCGATATAATAGTTGACACATATTCACTCATCTATTCAACAAATATTACCGAATGTCTCTTGTGTACTGGCTACAGAGTAGTTATAAGTCTCTGCCCTCCTAAACTTTACATCGTAGTGGAGAAGAACAGAAAATAAACCTGTAAGCAAAAGCAATAATATAATTTTAAATGTTACAAAATACATTACACAGAAAAATGGAATGGAGAATAACTGACTGAGCTATTTTAAGTAGAGTGCCAAGGCAAAGCTCTCTAAAAAAGTGACATTTGAGCTGAGATCTTAATAAAAATAAGGGGATTGCCATGCAAAGATCTAGGGAAGCCCATTCCCACACAGAGGGGATTTTAAAAACACTTCTCACTCATGCCCCTAAGAACATCTGCCTTACAAAAACACATTTGGATTATTAAGAATAGTACATGTAGTGAGCACTGTAATCCCAGCCTGCACTGGAAATTCCAATCTTGAGATGGGTATGACTTGCTCTAAGGCCAGCACTTAGGAAGACTGAGGTAGGAAAATTGCAAGTTCAATTCCTACCTGGGTGACTTAGTGACATCCTGTCTCAAAATAAAAATTTAAAAAGGCTGGGGATGAGGTTCAGTACGAAGGCCCTGGATTCATCCTCAGGACACTAAACAAACAGGGGCTGGAGATATAGCTCAGTGGTAGGGTTGCCCTTGGTACTAAAAATTGTATGCACTCTTAGAATTTCTTATGTTCTGTACCTCTTCTGTGTGCTTGAGAAATAGTTGATCACAGCCATTCATGAACTAGGTGTTTTGTTACTGTATTTTATTTAGCGCAGATTCTGTATACAAGGCAAAAGAAACTCTAGACACTAAACACATATTATTGCAAATGTGCATGCTTGAGTGTGAGAAGTAAGGCAGGAAACTAATTCACAAAGCTATCTACTATACACTAATGTAGTTTCAGGCGGTAAGGCGGACTTGGCTTTGAATTCTGTCTTCGTGCTTACTATCTAGGTGTCCTTTAGCAAGTCATTCAATCTCTGAACCTCTTTTCCTCATCAGTAACAATGAAGTTTTATAAAGATCACAAATTCAATGTATATAAAAGGGCCTAATGTGTTTGTATATAATAAGTTGTCAATAATATTTAATATAATAATGCATGAAGTGTTAATTTAAGAATTCTCAAGCTCCTCCACTGAGCTTAGCACCATCTGAGCCCTATGAAGGCCATAAAAGAAGTATTAGAAATGGAAATTTGTGATTTGAGGTACAGGATATATTTGCCACATACAGTACCCCCGGGTTGAAGCCCCCAGCAGCAAAACTTTTTAAGAGGGCAATTTGATCTCATATTGACTCAGCTAGCAAGTATCAAAGCTGAGTTTAAACTCAATTCAATATAATCCAAGCACCATACACTCAACCACTGCATTTACTGCCTGTATAGGATTACAAAAGTAGTACATCACATGATCTGAAGATGAAAGAGGGAGTTAGTTAGTAGAGAAAGTAGCCTTTGAAACACACCCTGAAATCTTTTAGACTCTGTATAGGCTAAGAGGAGAGAGATAGTATTCCAGGAAGAAGAGCAAAGCATAGGACATAAGTAGGAACAAACTGAGCTGGCTTTAAGTTGTGTTAGGAAAGAGATCTTTAATCTACCTACTACAAATCTGATGGTCTCCTTACATATCACCTCAAGCCTTCTTTCTTGCTCTTGTTACTGATTAACTCATCTGTTGTTTGATCTCTTTTAGGCTCTTTGAAACCCTCCAGTCACTCTTTTGGTCTGTGTTTGGCCTTTTAAATCTCTATGTCACCAACGTGAAAGCCAGACATGAGTTCACCGAGTTTGTGGGAGCTACTATGTTTGGGACATACAATGTCATCTCCCTGGTGGTGCTGCTGAACATGCTGATTGCCATGATGAACAACTCCTACCAGCTTATTGCTGTGAGTAGCTTTGCTTTATTCTCTCTCTCTCTCTTTTTTTTTTTTTTTTTTTTTTTTGTCTTTTTCCTTTTTATCGGTACCGGGGATCAAACTCACGACTGCCTACTTGCAAGGCAGGCGCTTATGCCGCTGAGCTAAATCTCCAGCCCCCGCTTTATTCTCTTTTAAATGGAACCCAGAGCCTTTGCACATTCCCAGGCCTTTTTATTTTTTATTTCAAGACAGACTGTCACTGAGTCATTAAAATGCCCAGTCTGAGTTTAAATTTGCAATCCTCCTGCTTCAGCCTCCCAGAGTGCTGAGATTACAAGTATATGCCACTATACCATGCTTGGTAGCTTTGCTTTAAAGGAGTACTTGTTTTCATCTCAGGAGGTCGCATAGTGACATGGAGCCCATTGCAATATAAGTCTTTCTGTCTTAATTGATTTACATTTGTTTTCTCAGTCATTAGACTCACTTGCTTCTTTTCAACACAATTTGTTTGAACTCAGTCTGTCGCGGTGATGATGAACCTTTTAGAACTTTCCATAATAATCTTTTAGACTCTGTATAGGCTAAGAGGAGGGAGACAGGGTGCTGAGCCATAATGAGCAGCCTGCTGCGGCAGGTGTGTCATAGGTTTACCACCACTGGTTTAGTCTCAGTAATCTAGATTAATGTGTGCCTGCTAATAAGACTTTTTTCCTATCTGCTGGAAATGGTTTTCAATCTTTGAATCCATTTTCATGCCCCAAGACAGAAAATTCGGGGGTTATGTGTATAATTGGTTCTGTGTGCTTAATGTGTATAATCCAATGTGCCTCACTTATCTCTAGGTAAATTCAGTCAATATATTTGTCTATGTGAGGGAGTTGTCTCGCTCTATGTAGCAAACATCATCCAAACTGAGAATTCTATCAAAAAGAGTAATCTCAGAAAAAGAGGGTTGGATTTTTGTTGTTGTTACTGTTGTTTTGTTTTGTTTTTTGATCAAGCATATAAGAGTAACTGCTTTCCACTATGAGATACTTTTAGCTAGATTTCACTGAAGATTTTTAAAAATCATTACATTACCATGTCAATCAGCAGTGTTTATGGCCCTCACTACAAATGGTGAAAGCAGAGGATATGGGATCAGTTCAGGCCCTATGATGGTTTTTGACAACAAAATAAATATCTAACATTGACTTGTTTTCTGATATATAATCTGCCTGTCATTTCTAGAAATGAAAGATTAGCATCTGGAAATGAAGTATTAGCAAAGGAGTTATCGGAAGCATAGCTTAGCTGAATAACACTGAATTTGGGTATTTAGGACTTATTAAAAGGCTACCTCATCCCCATGGGTCAGTCTGTGATAAAAAGACCTGAGTCTTTTTTTTATTTTTGAGACAGAGTCTCACCATGTAATTTAGGCTGTCCTTGAACTCAATATATAGCCCAAGCTGGCCACAAACTCGCAGTGATCCTATTTTGCCTCAGCCTCCTGAGTGCTGAGCTTACAGGCAAGTGCCACCATGCCTGGCTTAAAGACGTGTGGCTTATCTTCCTAGATGTCATTTCTCAAGTTTGGTTTGTCACAATGAGTTACTTAGCTTATAAAAAAAAAAAAAGCTTAAGTTATTGGACACACATGTCTAGAATATTATTGCTAACAGTGAACATCTGTACTACATTTTCACTAGGATTAGTACCAAAGAATGGATATATGTTGCAGCAGATTTTTATTTTTTGGAAGTACTTTCTACAGTTTGGATTTGAAATCCAAGCTCAATGGAACACGTATTAAAAGTTTGGTCCCTAGCCCATGGTGCTACTGGGAGATGGCAAAACCTTTAGGAAGTAGGGCCTAGGGGAAGGAAGTTAGGTCATGGGGCATGCCCTTGACACTGGCCTCTTCCTCCCTCTCTCTTTGCTTCTCAACTGTTATGAGGTGAACATGCTTCCTTGTCATGAACCCCTGTCATGATGTTCTGTGCCACCAAAGGTCCAAAGCAACAAAATGAAGCAAATACGGACTGAAACTCTGAAACCATGAGCCAAACTATAATCTTTCTCTTTCATAAGTTGATTTTTCTCATGTATTTTGTCACAGTGAAGAAGAGTGAAAAACTAACATTGGTGGATTTATAGAATTTCTGTCATTGGAGAGTTTAAAAATTACTGTATATAATTGTCTACTGGGATGCTTTAGATCCTACATGCATAGGTGATAGAAAAGGGAAGGAATATAGCAGAAAAATATTAGTTCAAAAGCTAGATACTATAATCACTGTTTTATCATTTATAACAAAGTGACGTTTGTTGTGTAACTTACTTTCCCTTATTGAGTTTTCACTTCCTCATCCCAAATGTGGGAGAGTAGGATTTGTCATTAATATTCTTGCCAGATATGTGAGTCTTCATCTGTTTACAGATGAACAAGATATACTTGAAAGGTCCTTTCTAGTGCTGAAATTCTGTTCACATCTGATGTATTTGAAGTGGAATACAATTCAATGTTGTTCTCTCTCACCTGCTTTCTATCTTTCTCATTCAAACTCAACTAAACCAAAACCTCTGACATGATGTACGTTTACTCCTAGACTGTTTTTAGAAGGGGACAAAAGCAGGCATGGAATCTCAGGAGTTGCTTTTTCCACTCCCTGTGCCTGGTATCCTATCTCTACTCCTACTAAAGATGGCAATAATCGTGCTAAGGTACTTGTAGTTTTCTCACTATGTATTTGGTAGTTGATTGCTCTGAATGGCAGTAAGAAAGACAGATTTTCTTGTCACATAATACAAGGCATGTGGTGTGTCCCACTGAGTTCAGCAATATTTCCAGGCAGGGCAGAAAGCATCAACTCCAGCCTCCCTGTTACCACCTGCCAGTGGTAGGATTTGTTGTAATACCACTTACTACATCTGAGGAATACACCTTAGTTCTTGTCTTCAGGACTTCAGCCTGGACTAGATTGTCTGCATATATACCATCTCACACATTTAGACTGAGTCAACAATTCTGAATACTACCTGCTGTTTTGGGATCTCCTGGGAGTGTACTGTTACCATTTAGAAATGAATCAAATGGGACGCAGATATTGGACATCTGATTCCAAAATATCTGAATCTGCTTAAGTGGCAAAGAACAGCAAGTAGATCTACTTTCTTTGGCAATAGCTCTACTTCAGTAGAAAGACTACAAAAAGAGAAGCCGCTGAAAACAAATTTTTCCTACTTCAAAGGAATCACAGTTTGACACATTCTAGGAGAAACTCAGTTGTCAGTGTGCCCTCACTGTGAATCTATTCAGTGTATATACTGCTTCAGAGCTCAAATGGTAACATCAATACCTTGAAAGCGTGAGCTCCTTAACAATGTTCCATGTAGGATTCAGTGATACATCACTAGCATCATATAGGATGCTAGTGATGCATATCTAGGGTTTTGTAACAATTTCTATTTCTATACTACCCAGAGGCTCTATTTCAGTGTTGTGTAGAGTTATATCAACATAGGATGAAGCTAGGATCATCTAGGCCTGAGTTCTGTGTTCTAAGCCAGTATCAGCAGGAGAATCTGCTCATACTGTATAACATTATTATTAGTATTAATATTATTATTATTTGCAATGAACAGCTCTTTAGTGCTCCCTTTATCTCTCCCTGAAGTTTTTCATTATCCTCTGTGACACTTCTTTCAACATAGACAACAGTAGTTCTTGATGTATATGCACAAGTTATATCAAGCAAAACTGCTCTTGCTGCTATTTTAATCAGATTTACTAATTACAAAATATTAGGTGGGAGAGATGGGTAGGTCCCATAAAGTTCATTCACCTTAGGCCTCATTCCTAACCTCTGTCCCACCCATAAGAGAGATCACTGTTGCTTGAGACTGAGTATCACAAAACATGGGCCTCATGATGGCTTGTAATCAAGCCTCATTCAGTAATTTAATAAGAATCCGTGGCTTCATTGGCTTCTGTGCTGTGTCCTATCTAATGCAGACAATGAGTAAACAGCATGTGCCTCACTCAGTCACAGCTGCTGCATGGTTGGGGGCAGCCCAAATACAGTACATAGGACTAGTTGTCTCCTTTAGGATGGCAACATTTGGAGGTTCAGATGATAAATGAACTCTCTCACTGCAGAAAATAGCCACGCAAATAAGACTTTCATCCAAACAAACTTGGCACTGAAAAAACTGGGCCAGGCAAGAGAGGACTGTTGCATACCACTGTGATGCCAAGAAGGGCAGGTGGTCTCTCCGCCCACCCTGTCATATGAGACCAGTTTCAGATTCTCAGTGCTCAGAGAAAAAAGCAGCACTTCACACAGTATTGTTTTTAACCCTCTAAATGGGATTGATAACTAACTGCTATACACTGATATGGCTGCACAGTTGTTAAAATATTAAAAACAGTTCTATATTAGTTGGTAAACAGCTGCCACTCCAGATGTTCGCCATGGGACCCCCTCAGACCCCTACACAATCCAGGAAGCAAAAGGAATATCTGGAACAGCAGATAGAATCCAGGACCCTATTCAAACACAATAGCTGTCATACCTTCTAATTAGTTTCTTAAACAGTCACTGTAGTGGGAAGAACTGTAAAATTCTCCCCCTAGATTTCCCACCCTAATCATCAGGACTATGAAAATGATGAGATATCATAACGGTGATTATGCTATATGTCATGGCTCTCAGGATTTTGCATATGTATTAAGGTTACTGATCATGGAGAGTATGCAGCTGGGCTTGATCTAATTACATCAATCTTTAAAAGCACTTTTCTCCAACTGGTGGCAAAAGAGGATATTAGAGATATCAACCACATGGAAGGTTTAATGTCTTCTCTTGGCTTGAAGACGGAAGGATCCATGTACTAAGAAATTAGAAGCCTCTAAGAGATGTGACTGGCCTGTGGCTAACAGTCTGCAAGATGGTAGAAATGTTGGTGCTACCACTACACAGAAATGAATTCTGTAAACAACTAAATTAACTTGGAATCAGATTGTTCTTCAGATAAGAATT